TTTACGGACCACAGTCCACTTCTGCTGACTTCCCTCACCGGCCCCCCCGCCACGTACTCGCCTAGGATTCTTCCGGCTTCCCAGGCTTAAAGAAAAAAATCCCTTTGCTGATGGCTCAGCAAAGGCCAAAGGCCTAAGTTCAAGCCCCAGGGCAGCAACTAGGAGCCTCTTTCTGGTCATTGAAAGTCCATCCTAGGAGGGTCCCCTCCAGCAACAAGTCCCCCTGGCTGCACACGCAGCATCCTCCCTCCTGGCTGTGGGCACAAACTGCTGGGGCCAGGGGCCGAGCAGTTTCTCAGGAATCCTATGGGACACCTGCTGGCTTTTCCTCTCAGCCCAGCGGGCCCAGTGGTGACCCACTGGCCCCACATCCTGGAATGCCACCCATGCTGTGGTCCGGCCAGTCCCCAGGAGGGCTCCCCCAACAGGTGCTAACAGCAGTTATCCGTTCGGTTCAGCATTGGGGTTCACCCACCACGTTTTCAGAGGCAGACTAGCTGGTGAGGACAGGGGGGTCCAGACGAGCACCAAAGTCAGTCGGCCTGCTCTTTTCAATGCTTTCTCCGCTCTCTCGCTCTCTATCCCCCTGCCTGGCCTTCCCCAAAGCCCCTGACCTGCCCACCCCCCAGGGGTGGGTGCCAGCTCACCTGCAGCAGCCCGAGCGCGGGTAGCTGGCAGCGCCCCTCCAGCTCGCTGATGAGCTCGGCCAGCTGGGTGCTCTGCTGCCCGAGCTGGGCCGCGCTCTCCCGCAAGGGGGGCAGCACCTCCAGCTCCTCCTCCTCCAGCCTCTGCAGCAGCCGCTGCTCCTCCTCCACAAGCAGCCGGCGCAGTCTCTCAAACTCCGCCAGCACGTTCTGCCGCTGGCTCTCCACCATCTTCTGTGGGGGCCGGGGTGGGACAGCTGAGGGCCTGGGACCTGGAGCCACCCTGACCCCCAAATCTACCACCTGGGGCCCCTACATCATCCCTCCCTAACCCCTAAGTCAACCACTCAGGGCCCCTCATACCCATCCCTCCCTGACCCCCAAACCACTACATCCAGGGCCCCTCAACCCCCAGATCCGCCACCTGGGGCCCTCTAACACTTAGCACCTCCCCAATCCATGACCTTACCCCCCAAGGTTCCCCCTACACCCATCCCTCCTCAACCCCTAAACCCAACCCCAGGTGGGTTATACACGGTGTCTGGAGCAGGGGGGGTCACCTTATGAGAAACATGAGGCTGAGTGTAAACAGTGGTGTCCTGCAGTGGTGGCCCTCACGTCCCCTGCCCCTACATTGGGCACCTGGCCACCTGCCTGCCACAAGGAGTAGGTCTCCTCCGCCTGGGCCTGAAACAGCAATGCATCCTCCATTTGCTTCCGTAGATGCTCCAGGGATTTCTCCAGCTTGCCCTGCAGAGAGGTGAGGCCAGAGTGACCCCTGCCAGGCCAGGCCTCTGGGCTAGGCCTTATCCCTGGCTCCCACCTACCCAGCCCCAGCTAAGCCAGAACTCAGCCAGCAGGGACCGTGGTCATGGAAAACTGGGTCTGGACATGAATTGGTGGAGAGATGGAGCAAACTTGAATTTGCCAGGAAAAGGCCCTCTAACCAGCATGGACCCCCCTGCCACCGCCCCTTGCCTGAATTTCCTTTCTCCTATCATTCCCACCCCTCCCTGGTCTCCGGGCAACTTTCCCATACCCAACTTCCCACTGCATCACCACCTTTTTTCTTCTAAGCCCCTTGACTTCTCTGTGCCTGTACTGGGCTTACTGGGTTTCAGCTAGCTGGACCAAACTGCAGGATGCGCACATGTGTATCCGGCAACCTGGTCCTAGTTTCAGGCCTCAGCCTGTTAACTTCAACCCATACTCTGTATCTGTTGACAACACACTAGGCACCTGGGAAAGCCAGGAGGCCTGGGATACACGAGGGCCTGAAGGACCATGACAAGAGCGACCGCAGCAGTGCTCGTGGGCACTCCACTGTCCTCTCCATCCACGTTCAAGACGCGCCAGGGCCCTGGGAGGCTGTGCTTTCTACAGCCAGCACTCCGGGCTGTGCAAATACCAGCCACAGCCCACTGATGGCAGGTGAGAGCAGTCTGTGGGGGTGACCCCAGCATTAAGACAAACTAAGCACTAGTCCAGTGAAGGGACTGGGACATGCCACCCCAAAATATGCCACTTTGGCAGCAAGATTATTTAGCGCTAAAGGTGACCGAGAACCAGCAGAGCTCTCTGGCCTCCTCCTTTCACCTAAAGGCAGGGCATAAACTTTCCAAGAGGTTGCCTACTCTCTGTACCAGAAGGGGAGAACACTCATCACCCAGAGCCAAGCTGTAGACACTGAGATAAGTCTACCTAAACAAATCTTCTCCTATTAGTTCCCCCCAACATACTTCCTAGTTCCTTTCCCACAATGTATTGGCCCTAGAAGCCCTAATCCCTTTTCCTTTGTCTAGTCGCTTCTCCACAATTTATCCTCTTTTGTTAAAATGGAATATAAGGGGGGAGGGTATGGCTCAGTGGTAGAGTGCATGCTTAGAGCACACAAGGTCCTGGGTTCAATCCCCAATACCTCTGTCAAAGATAAATAAATTAAAAAACCTAACTGCCCCTCCCCCAAAATAAAAAGTCTAAAATATATCATATATTTATAAAAATATAAATATATTTATATATATAAATGGAATATAAGCCTGAGTCTAACCACTTCTTTGAGTTTTTCGCTTCTTTTCTGTCAAACCCTTGTGCCATGTACAATTTAAAAAATTGATCAAAGTATGTCTTTTCAACTGTTAATCTCTTCAGTCAGTTTAATTTGCAAGCCTCAGTCACAGAACATAACCTGGTAGAGACAAACTATGATAGAGAGGGTTAAGTGCTGCTCCATGAGACTCTATCAGGTCAGATTGGAGAGGCCTCTAGAGAGCTGCTGGTCATTCTCTGCTCTTTTGGTCACTTTCTACACCCGGATCGGGGTACCCAGTGACAGGAGAGACATTTGCTAGACCAACACAAGGAGTGGCTGTTCCTGTATGCAACATGTCATACCTCAAAGTGAGCAAAAACCAGAGGAACTGCGTTAGGTCACGCACACTGATGTGGATCGGGGTAGGGGTTTATCCTTGTGTACCAGAAGCTCGTTCTATGATAGAGACAGAGTACTGATTCTAACATTGACTAAACTGTGCACTTCGTGTGCCTCAGCAGATGGACACTACTGGACATAGAGCAAAATGCCAACCACAGTCCAAAAGTTTGAAAAACACCTCCACATACTCAATACTTTGGGTTCCAGGAGCAAAATCCACCAGCAGGCCAGTGAGGAATGTAGTGGGCCGCCCATAAGGTGGGCCAGATGAGTGTTTGCCCTTATGCTCTCAGCAGAGGGGGGAGTGTTGGTTATCTATTTGGATTTTAAGGAAATACATTTCCAGAACAGAGAAATAAGGCATCTCAGGCTGGGTCAAAGCTGGGCTGAGGCCTGGCTTGTCAGCTGGCACAGTATCCCACTGGGAAAGTCTGGTGGGCCCTGGTGTCTGCCTCCCAGGACAATGGCTCTGTCCCTTCATCGATCCCAGTCTGGGGCTCTGCAGCGGCTTCCTGGCTGCCTTCCGCTGTCTCTTCTCACCAGGATTCCAGCACTCGTGTCCGCGGCACCGCCCTGCCCTGCCCACAACCCTCTGAGAAGCTGAGTCCTCATCCGTGCCCTTCCATCTGCGACCAGCCACCTCTGAGGTTCTCTTCTCTCTTTCTCCTGCTCCTGGCTCCATCCCTGCCAATGGTCAGTCAAACCTGCCCAGTCCCCGCCCCAGACAGCCCTCCCACCTACGCGGTGGGGACCTAGACCTCAGAGAACACGCCCCCTCCTACCAGATCCTCAGGCCAGCACCTCATTGGTGGGCGGTGCCCCAGCCCCAATAGGGTGCCAATTTCAGGCAGGGTGCACGCCGCCACACCCCCCGCCCCCAGACCTGGACCTGGGTGGGGCCTGAGCCCACGCCCTGGGCTCCCCCAACTTCAGGCCAGGCCACATGCCGCACAACCCGCGCGACAGGAACCCCTGCCAGGCCGTGCAGCGCGCCGGACCTGCCCGCACCTTGAGATCGTCGGCCGCGTCCTGCAGCGGGCGCACGCGGTGAGCCCAGTGCTCCCCCGAGCGCTCGCAGGCCGCGCACAGCAGGCGCAGCTCGTCGCCGCAGAAAGCAACCAGCGGCTCGCGGTGCGCGGCACACACGCCCTGCGGGACCGGCGACGGCGGATGCAGGCGCCGTGCCATCTCGGCCATCTTGGCGAGCGGGCGGTTGGGCCGCAGGTTCCTCTGCGGAGACAACTCGCGGCACTCGGGACAGGCGTACGGGCCCTCGGGCTGGCCCCAGCAGCGCCGGATGCACTCGCGGCAGAAATTGTGGCCGCAGTCGGTCATCACCGGGTCCGTGAAGTAGTCGAGGCAGATGGCGCAGGTGGCCTCCTCTTGGAGGTTGGTGGACAGGTCGGGGGCGGCCATGGCACCGGTGCAACGGAGGAAGGCAGCGTTCTGCGCCGGGTCGGGCGGTGGCCGGCCGCCGCCGGGACTTTGGGGAGCGCGCGGGGACGCGAGGCGCAGGGCACCGGGGGACTCGGGGGACTTCGGGTCGCGAGGGCTCCGGGGTCTGAGGCTGTGGGCTCCGGGGATGCGGAGCGCACTGGCTCCGGACTGAGGTGGCTCGGGGAACCTAGGGCCTACGGCTTCCGTACGCGGGCAGGAAGAGGTACCGGGGCGGAAGCAGGAAGCGCCTGGGTTTTTTCCCCCTTTGGAACAACCCGCTTTAGCTGCGGATTGGCCGCGGCCTATCACGCGGCCCGCAGGCCGGACTGAATTGGAGGCTGTTCACCGGCTGACCTTGCGTCGCCGCCGCCACCTGCGCGCGCAGGCGCGCGCTGCTGGCTCGGACCTGCGCTGGGGTCGCACTGCCCGGTGTCTCCTTCGGGGCTTGAGAAAGATGGAGCGTAGAGGGCAGGGGCCAGTGGGGTGCCCTGCACAGCCTTTGGGCTCTCAGCGCAGGGTAGAGGCCACGAGGACAAGGGAGGACGAGGCTGAGGCGGGGAGCCACAAGTCGTACCCCGTGCGCGCGCCCCACCCTCCGGCCGGAACCGTCCGAACTTACGGGGTGAGGGGCCTTGGGCCTTACTAGGGTAGGGGTACACTAACCGAAATCCTGGGGTGCTTGGCAGCTGTTAACTGATCTGAACGCGTTAATGCGTCTGAAACTGCGGGGATGGGAGGCTGGGCGGTGGAGAGCGGGCTGAAAGGAAAGGAAGGACCCTCTTTGATCCTTATTCTTTGAATTCTGCCCCTGCAACTTTGGTGGGGGTAGGAGGGATGGCGTGGGCAGCCCTGAGGCTTTTAGAAGTTGAGCTTGAAGTTTTTTCACTTTTTCATTTCCCTCCTGTGAAGGACCCAAATACGGGATTTGCAGACTACAAAGAAGGTGAACACCCGAGGGTTTGGCTCTACCTATAGAAACCTGAACCATGATTCTATTTTTAGGTTTTTGAGAAACCCCTGTCGTTTTCTGTGGTGGCTGCGCCGATTTACATTCCCACCAACAGTGTACAGAGGTTCCCTTTCCTCCTCATCCTTGAGACGTTTGTTACCTGTGTTCTTTTTGATGATGGCCATGCTGACAGGTGTGAGACGGTGTCTCACTGTGATTTTGATGTGCATTTCCCTGATACCAGTGATGTTGCGCAGCTTTTCCTGCTCCTGTTGGTCATCTGCATTTCCTGTTTTAGAAAAATGTCTATCCAGTTCTGCCCTTTTTTAAATGGGTTGTTTGTTCTTTTGCTTTTTAACTGAAAGATAGTTGATTTTAAATGTATTAGTTTCTGGTGTACGGCATGGGTGGACTTGAAGGGCACGATCCTAAGAGAAGTAAGTCAAAGACAAACACTGTAAGAGATCACTTACACGTGGAATCTAAAAAAACACAACAAACTAGTGAATATAACAGAAAAGGAAAACTCACAGATGTGGAGAAGGAGCGACTGGTTACCAGTGGGGAGGGGGAGGGGCAAGATGGAGGTGGAGGATTAAGCGGTACAAACTGTCAGGTTTAAGTAAGCTACAAGGATGTATCGTACAACATGAGGAATATAGCCAATATTTTATAATAACTATAAGTGGAACATAACTTTTAAAAATTGTGAACACTATATTGTATACTTGTCACATACAATATTATACATCGACTATACTTCAATTTAAAAAATATATTATAAAATAAATATTTAAAAAAAAACCTGAACCACAGAAGAGCCAATGAATGGTTACATCCGTAAGTGGGAAGCGGGGGACATGGCTAAAGGAAAAGTGCACCATGCTGTACCTGGTACATATCTGTGTATTTTGATACTGATTCACTGTGAAACCTGCGGGCTTCTTAAAACATTCTCTATGAAACATCTGTAAATACAGTCTCTTAACGGTTAGCTGCTTTAATCATGATTGTATTTCCACATTGTGAAACTACCCTGCACAGCCAATGGCTCTCAAATGCTCCAGTATGAGCTGGGCAGGTGGCTCTTGCTGAGCTGGACCACCTCACCTCCTGGAGAAACCAGGGCTGCCCAGTCTCCCCCTGCCTGTCCCCCTATCCCTTCACCCACAGGGTCACTGTAGAGATGACCATCTGGCCCGATTTGGGGGCCCCAAGGCAGAAGAAGGGCTGCAGGGGGCCAGGGAAGGCAGGCTGGGAGTAGGTATGCAGGTGGGACCCATCATTCACATTGTAGAAGGACACCTCTCCGGCCTCGAAGTCCAGGAAGACGCCCATGTGGCTGGGAGGCTCAGTCAGCGTGATGGGGGTCGCAGAAGACGTAGCAGGTGCATACCTCTCTCCTTTGCATAGCTGTACCACCCAGAACCCATTTTCCGGGGACTTAGGGACCCTGCCCCTCCGGCTCACGTTGTCCCTGCACACGCCCAGGGCCCACAGTGCATCACCGGTGAGGTTTATGCCCACCTCCCAGTAGTGCCTCCCCGAGGAGAAGGTCTCTTGGCCCACCGCACAAGGGTAGGCCAGGAACCTGTCCTGGCCATGGGGTGCACCATCCAGCGGGATGCTCAGGTAGCGCCTCTGGCTGATCTCGTACAAGAGGAGGTAGGGGTAGGCTGTGGTCGGGTCTGGCACCACATCTTCTGGAGACAGGCCCAGGGCAGAGGGGAGAGGGGGGCTTTTCAGGGTCATGGTGGAGAGGGCAAGGACTCAGAGGGGTCCAGATAGTCCCCTGTTCACCCTAACCCCCACCCAGGCCTCTGGCTGAGTTCAGCTGTGAACGAGGAGCTACTGTACGATCCAGTGCCCCATCTATGGACATCGGTGATGCCAAGGAGGTGGGGTTGGGGGACCATTTGGGCATTGGGCCGTGCGGTTGAGTTCCTCCCATCCCCATCCCCCTCCATTGGTGACTTTTGCCTTGAGCGGCTAGGAGCAGGGCGGGGCATTACCCAGAACACCTGGGCCCTGGCTTACCTTGGAAACGCTTGAGCACCTCTATCTGCCCAGGGACCCTGCAGACTGTCCTCAGCATGGTGAGGGTGGCCTCTGGGTACTGCACACTCAGGCTGTCCTTCCTCCGATGGATACAGGTCTCACTGTCCCCTCTGACCCTACCTGCAGTCCTCCCTGCACCCATCACCGCCTCCACTGCAGGTGGCCACGTACCTGCTGAGAACGTGGTTCATATCCTTCAAAACACACAGAGGGGGAGGAAGAGAGATTGGCGAGGCCTCCCTGGGGACCTGGGGTGTTCCCAAGCCAGTAGAGCTAGAAGGGGTTTGTGATGTTTCCCCACGGCCCTGTTTCCAGAGCGTAACCCTGTCTTTGGGCTCTTGACACAGTAATCATGCATCTAACTCGCCCAGACCTCCTGCTTTTCTACATCACAGTGAGTGAGGACACAGGGAAGCAGTCCTGCTCATGACAGGTCCTGAAGGCACGGGAGCCCAAGCAGTGCTTTCGGCCTTGAGTGGGTCAGGAGTCAGTTTTGTGGCTTGCAAACAGATTGCTTTTTGATAGAAGACAAAGTTGGGGCGAGTGTATAGTCTGTCATCTATACCAGGACACTTAGTGCGAACAGAACCCCCAGGACGCTAGGGCAACAGGCATAAAACTGGGTCTGATCCAGGCATCCTGGGACGTACAGAGACCCTGTGTGTGGCATTTGCTTCAGTTGTATAAACAGACTTCTGTGAATGCGTGTGCAGTGATCTGCAGTGTGAAGTGTATTTTTTGCCGTGAATTCCATCACTCTGCATGCTTGATTAGTGTGGCCCACTTTTCAGCCCCACAACTGCCCCCTCCGGGGCCTTGGTGTGCAGGCCCGTCCCTGGCAGGCCAGCTGCACCTTCTCTCCACTTCCATAGCTGGCGGATGTGATCATAAGACTTGCTCCCACCTGTGAAGTCACGGGTGCCTATCTGGGCCAGTGTGTCTGTGCCTGCATCACTGTGTGGAAGACAGCTGCCCTCAGGCCACATCCCTAGGCGATGAAGGGAAGGAACACAGGTCACTAGGACTGGCACCTGTCATGGGCTGAACTGATTCCCTTTCCCCGCCAGATTCTTATGTTGTGAAACTAACCCTCGGTGCCTCAGAATGTGACTCTATTTGGAGATAGGGTCTTAAGGATGTGATTAAGATAAAATTAGGTCATTAGGGTGGGCCCTCACTCAATCTGACTGGTGTCTTTATAAGAAGAGATAGGGCACAGACGTACAGAGGGATGACCATGTGAGGACACAGGGAGAAGACAGCTGTCTGCAAGCCACGGAAACAAGCCTTTGGAGAAACCAGCTCTGCCCACAACTGGATCTCAAGACTTCTAACCTCCAGGAGTGTGAGGAATAAATGTCTTGTTATTTAAACCAACTGGTTTGTGGCATTTGTTACCAGCCTGACCTGACTGAGACAGCCTTCCCTGTTGGCCTGTGTCTTTTTTGCCACAGGTCAGGCCCCTGACTAAACCTGAGCCAGAGTTCACGCGCCCATCTCCCACCCCAACCCCAGCCAGGTGAACAGGTGTGCCCACCCCACCTGCAGCATCTGGAACGGGGTGCGCTCATTCCTGTCCTCCAGCTGCAGCAGCAGCATCTCCAAGGAGTGACCCTGCTGCTCGAGCGAGGCCATGCTCTTTTGCAGCTTTGCCACTGTTTCCTCCTCCTCCTCCTTCAAGGCTTGGAGGAGGCGCTGCTTCGCCTCCATCAGGAAGAGGCCCGTCTTCTCAAACTCGACCACGATGCGCTCCCTCCGCTCCTTCACCTTCTCCTGCAGTGGTGGTGGCAGATCCTGGAGGTGAGGTGCTGCCTGGAGCACCCCACCACCCTGAGTGCCTGCTTTCAGACCTCACCCACTAACTGAACCCACCAGCTTGGAACAGCTGCTCTGGGGATACTGGCACATCTCCCCGGGGCCCCTGTGACCCACAGAAAACCAGGCCTGGCAGGTATGGGAGCCAGAAGCCACCCAGATGTCCCCTGCCCTGTCACTGTAGCATAATTTTACTCTGAGCCCCAAATGGCAACATCCAAGCATCCATGTGCCCTCGTTCCCTACTTCTCTGAAATGGCTCAGTCCTGATTCTTGCTGGAATTCTATGACCTGGGAAATCATTGCCTTTCTGGGGTCCCATATTCTCATCCATTCAGGACAGTGATTCCCACCTCAAGGAGTTCCGCAGGCTCGGGAGGCCCTGCGGGTGCTCCGGGGCCTAGCTTGGCCTCCCGACCCTGCTCGGCTGCTGTGGGAGGTCCCCAGCACCTGCCTGCCACTCGGCCAAGGTCTGTTCCTCCTTTGCCTGCAGCTTCCTGGTCTTCACCATCTCCTCTTGCAAGCACTCCATGTCTTCCTCCAGCTTCAACTGTGGGTCAGGATTTGGGGTCAGTGGGTCCCCTGCTTGCCCCACATCTAGACGATGCCCTCTGAAGCATCCCATCCATCCTAATAGGGTGCAGGGGTTGGAAATATGCCACCTGAAAATATGCCCCTTGGGCATGAGGATTATTTTGAACTGGAGACAACTGAGAATCAAAAGATAAAGAAAGATGCCTTTCCAGGATTCCCAGAAACCCGGGCCAAAAGCAGAAACTCCTGAGAAATGAGGACTGCTGTGAAACACCTTGCAGGGGAGGTGTTAATCCCCACGAAGAAGACGGAAAGTTGGTACCAAGACAGACCTGCAATAATAACCCCGATTTTCCTTTAGTTTCCCCCAAATGTTTACATTCCACTATGTCCTGAATGTTTCAGTCCCCCTGCCCCCAATTCATATGTTAAAGCCTTTAAACCCCCAATGTGATGGCAGAGGTGGGGCCCCCACGAATGGGGTTAATTAGTGCCCTTATAAAAAGAGACCCCAGAGAGCTCCCTCACTCCTTCTTCATGTGAGGCACAGTGAGAAGCTGGCTGGCTGTGAACCAGGAAGGGGCTCTCACCTGACTGTGCTGGTACCCTGATCTCAGACTTCCAGCTGCCAACTGTGAGCAGTTAAGTTTCTCTTTATAAGCCACCCAGTCTGATACTCCGTTACAGCAGCCCAAGCGGACTGAGACACGGGCTCCCGGCCACAAAGCCTCAGGTGGATGGAGGAAAAAGGCTCCCCTCCCCGTGCCTAACAGGGTTGCCTGGCCTGCCCACAAAATTGGCTGCATGGAAACCAGGGAATGCGGATGGCTTCCGGTGGGGGGCTTTCTCAGCCTGGACTCCTGCAAAACCATAGATTATGTGATGGCCTGGCCACCAGCCTGCTTGGTTGTGGAGTGTGGGGACACTTCCACTGCATACAGGGCTGTTTGTTACAGCAGCTATCCTTCTGCCTAATATACTCCTTGACAGATGCACATACTTGGGACCCCTTGTCCCCATGCCCTGGCCCCCAGCCCGGGCCCACCTTGTACTCCTGCACAGCCTCCTCGATAGGAACCACCCTGTGGGGCCGGTGTTCCTGGGACTCCCTGCAGATGACGCAGATGGGTCTCTGGTCGTCCTCGCAAAAGAGTTTGAGCAGCTCCTGGTGCACCTGGCACAGGTCCCTGCGCCACAGGCTGGGCTGCTGCCGCGCCATCTCAGCCACCTTGGTCAGGAGACGGTTGGGCCGCAGGTTCCTCTGGGGGGACAGCTCGCGGCACTCAGGGCAGGGGAAGGAGCCCTTCTGCTTCCTCCTCCTTTTCTGGGCTTTGGTCTTCTCCCAGGTCAGCTGGATGCACTCCCGGCAGAAGTTGTGACCACAGTTAGTCATCACAGGATCTGTGAAGTAGTCGAGGCAGATGGAGCATGTGGCCTCCTCCTGCAGTTTTCTGGCAAGTTCCATGGCATCCATGGCTCCTAGGGAAGGAACAGAGTGTCCCACCACACCGTCTGCCTGGAGTTCTGGGCTCTCTCTCTCGGCATCCTTTTGCAGATGGAGTCTGAACACAGGGTTGTTAGGGCATC